CTGGGTATGTGGGAGTATCGTCCCCTGGGAGTATGTGGGTGTCAGTATGTGGGAGTGTCGCCTCCAGCCCCCCCTGGATGTGGGATCATGTGGGAGTATCGTCCCTGGGAGTATCGTGGGTATGTGGGAGTGTCGCCTCCTGGGAGTATGTGGGAGTATCGTCCCCTGGGGTGTGGGGTGTCGCCCCTGGAGTATGTGGGAGTGTCGCCCCTGGAATATGTGGGAGTGTCACCCTCTGAGTATGTGGGAGTGTCGCCCCTGGGTATGTGGGAGTGCCCCTGGGTATGTGGGTCGCCCTGGGTATGTGGGAGTATCGTCCCTGGGGTATGTGGGGATGTCGCCCCTGGAGTATGTGGAATGTCGCCCCTGGGTATGTGGGGAGTATCGTCCCCTGGGAGTATGTGGGGATGTCGCCCCTGGGTATGTGGTAGTGTCGTCCCTGAGTATGTGGGAGTGTCGCCCCCTGGAGTATGTGGGAGTGTCGTCCTTTGGGTATGTGGAGTGTCGCCCCCTGGGTATGTGGGAGTGTGGGAGTATGTGGGAGTATCGTCCCTGGGATTGTGGGGTGTCGCCCCTGGGTATGTAATGTCTGGAGTATGTGGGAGGTCGTCCCCTGAGTATGTGGGAGTGTCGCCCCCTGGGTATGTGGGAATGTCGCCCCTGGATTATGTGGGAGTGTCGCCTCCTGGAGTATGTGGAGATCGTCCCCTGGGATTATGTGGGGTGTCGCCCCTGGAGTGTGGGAATGTCGCCCCTGGAGTATGTGGGAGCGTCGCCTCCTGGGGAGTATGTGTTGGGGGTATGTGGGGGTGTCGCCCCCTGGAGTATGTGGGAGTGTCACCCCCTGGAGTATGTGGGAGTGTCGCCCCCTGGAGTATGTGGGAGTGAGCCAAGTAGCCAAATTGTGGTAAGTTTGACATAAAAATTCTGCCGGAGGTGTGGTGGTCGGGGGAAGTTGTGGAGGAGATATTGATGGTTTGGGTCCCCTCCCGTCTCCCTCTCACACACACACACACACAAGCTCTAATACTAGGTAATACCTTCAGTGCTGTATGTAAGGGAATCATACCTTTTCTCATAATTAATAGATCTTAAATGATAACAAGAAAATCGTTTACGCTACTAATTACGTGTTGGTAACCTGGCCCCATCTGTCATTACACCTCCTCCACAACACCACCGTCACCCATTATTATTTTTGGGGGTTTTGGGGGTAAAAAAAAAAAACTGATAAATGCTAAAATATTTTTTTGTCAGAACAAATCATGTCGTAGAAATTTTAGTACAGTATATTTTCAAACGAAATAACGTGACGTAGTGGACTATCGCTCAGGGACATTCAGGAATAAATTACGGATTTAAAATCGGACGTCAAAGAGAATAGCTGTACATTAATTGTGTTACGCTGAAGTATCGAATAAAAAATATGATTTGAAAAGACATTCATAGTCACCACGTTTATATCATCTCTTTGCTGAATATACATACAAATATTGGTCATATTTACTGCCTGGATGAAGGATCACCGCTTGACGGCCGGCCTCGTCTCTGGGCATGTACTTGCTCTTGAACGTACTGTATCTGTACCTGCGTCAGAGTTCGTCTTGTTTGATCTTGTATGAGCTCACACTCGGTGTCATCACAACACTCTCTGGTAAATTGTTCTACGAGTTCTTAGCTCTCACTCCAAAAAAGTTTGCCCTCACAGTTTTCTTTACTTGTTGCTTCTTCAACCTTAGGTCGTGACCCTTTTTTTTCCATTTTTTTTTAGAAAATTAACTGTCATTTATACTGTACTCTGAAGGTATTATATTTTTTATTTCCAAGAAAAAATGTGAAACATTAAAATGAAGCTCAATAACAATAGTACTGTAGTCTGTCCTTATTTGACAGACGTTTTCTTTGGATAGTTGGTCATTCTGCCATCAAGCGGCGCCAAGGTCTCGCTGTGGCTTCTCATTAAAAATAATGGTTTTAAAGGAGAATTACACTTCTATACTGAATACTCCCGAGTTGAAGTTGAAGGCAGTGACTGTGACCGTAATACTCTCACCAAGAATTCCACCTAAAACTAGCGCCATACATAACACACAACCAGCTATACAATGGGATTACTGAAGGAAAAAGCGAAAGGAACATGGTTAAACTTGTGTGTGGCGTAGTTAGCCTTCGTCCATTCTCTGTAAGTACGTTCACCATAACAATAACAGTAAGCCTCGGGGGTATGTTGGTGGCCATTTAACACCTCCAGTTGTGCTCAGTGTAGGTCCTATAACAACAACAATGAAAGAGAAACCTAATTCTAGTTCTTGTTGAAACTTTACCCTGTAGTGATTTTTAGAGCCCGAGATAAGTTTTTAGAGCCCAAGTTAAATTTTTAGAGCCTGAGTTAAATTTTTAGAGCCTGGGTTAAGTTTTTAGAGCCTGAGTTAATTGTCAGTGGAAAATACCAGAATGCAGGTATTTTCACATAATCTTATTGGAAAAACATACTCTTTTGGCCACTCATGTAAATGGTTTATGAATTCTGAAGAAGCATTACAGAAACAATCCTTATATTTTGTTTAGATTAGGTGAAGGGAGTATCAGCAGTGATTCCTCATTCTACCCACACCTTAACATTACCTGCCTTACATTACAAGAACAAACCAACCACTCATATAGTGTTGGGAGAGAACAAACCAACCACTCATATAGTGTGGGGAGCTCATTTCAATGCTGTTAAAAATTACTGAATTTTCTGTAAGTTCTGTTAGGCTATTCTTACATTACCTAAAATCTGTAATTGCTATTTTCACATCTTCACCAAACCAGACATGAATCAAATTTTCATTGTATCCTTGTATTGCAGTCAAATTATATGTCTGTATATAAATACTGTAGTCAAATTATTTTTATAAGATGAGCTGTAATTTATAATAAACCTTATGAATATGAAACAGGATATAGTTAAATGATGATTTCTTTGCATATCTATATATTTATTATAAACTGATGGAAAATGAAACAGATGACCAATTTGGTTATAATATGAAATTAAATTTTATATAACAAGATAACAAAACATGATGACTACTCACTACATAGAAATGAATCAAGAAAGAATTTACAAAATCTAAAAAAAGAAAAACACAACGTAAAAACAAACTCAATATTACATACTTCTCAATGACAACAGAAGAATGACAGAACTTGCATGTCAATGAATACACTAAAAGAATCTACAGTATTTATAATATCTTAAGTCTCTGCTGGTGCTATTAACCTTCTGCTAATGCACTTAAGTCATCTGCCTTAGCTAAGACCATAAAAAGTAATTTACGTGCATTAGAATCTTCTTTAGCCGAACTCTTCAAGGCTCGGAATTGAAATTGGCCCGGATTTTTCCGAGGCGTATTTTCTGAAAATTCCAGAAACTCTTCATTTTTTCCTGATCTGTGAACAAATTCAGAGGATGAAATAATGATTAATTCTGGGAAATTACAGAAAGTTGCCAAATTTATCTGTTCCAGGTCTGGGAGCCTATTCCGAGGTTAGGTTAGGTAGCAATTTCCAGAATCTTCCCAGTACAGTAAACGGAAAAATTCCACATCATCCATGACACCAAGAATTATTTCTTCAGTTTCGGTGAAAGGTGAATAGTCAGCTGTACCTGGAAGTGAAAATAAAGGCATTGAAATTGTGTAGTTAAATTTGCGAATTCTGAAACATATTTATTTATGAAGGTTGATATTTAGAAGTTGCCATCACCTACGTACATATTCTGGGTAATTTTTGTCTGTTAAACTATTTAAAATAAATAAAATCCTACAGAAACACGGATCTTTTAGGTTTAATATACAACACTCAAAAAATTTAAAAATATTTTTTTTCAGTGTAGATTTTTTTGATGTTTCCAAAAATGTGATCTTTTTTTCTTTTCTTTTTTATAAATTCATAGAAAAAGTTATAGCCCTCTAAAAGTTTAATGTTCTACATCGAAATGTTATCCTAACCAAAGCTAACTGGTAAAAATGGGTGATCTTAAAATCCTAAAATTCCCTGGATGATCGAAAAGATAATAATACCATCAATTTCTTTTATTTTGGAAGGCATTATTAATTTTTGTTGGAATCATACAAGGCCAATGTGTTCACAATTGATTCTACTATACTTGTAGACAAAATATAGAATGGCTGTGTACAGTACTGTAGATCATCATTGCCATTAAGCATATGGAAATCCTTGATAGTTGCCATCTATAATGAAAACAAAAACAGGAAAAATCACGTATGCAAAAACTGGCAAATGTGCTAGAGCCTGGCAACTACCCCGGTACAGGCTACTGGGTATTTAAACTAACGCAATATATATTTTGGTAATGTGGCCGATTATTATTTATTGTGCTCATTACAAAAATTGGGTTGACATCATTCCCGATAAGGGACGTGATTTATCATCCCAGATGGAGCAGCTCTCACCACTCTCCAACTTAGGATTTTTGTTTATTTAGATTAATTTGACTTCCATACATTCCTACACATAAATTATTTGGATTAGCTATCTTAAAGGCTTACCTTTGGTGATGGTTAGGAGGATTTGAAGTATGTAAGCGGCGATGAGGCAAGTAGTGGCTGCCGGATGTCCCCATACAAACTTGGAATTCTTTGAAAAAGAACAATAAAATCTTCGTAAGCTGTTTCATATGGAGGATATCTTAAAAAAAATATATTATTCCTTTGCAGATTTCTACAATTTATGTACAGTACATCCAATTCTGTTTATTTTAGTTTGGTTTCAAAATATAGTTCCATAGTAGTATGCATCGCAGTTTTTTTTATAAGCATCGAAGGATTCTTGCAAAACGCCCATCGGGATACCACAGCAGTGTGTACACGACGGCAGTTCTTGCATATGGCCTATATGTCGTCGTAATCAAACCGTGGATTGGTTGCTGGGGTTAAGATTTTGTCTGGTGCGCCAAGACTCTTTAGTAAAGATGTGTTTTTTCTCTCTTACAGAACCACCATCTCCAGTGCTGCCAGATGACGCCCTTGATACCCATACCTTTCTAACCAACCACTACCTACCACCACTACCCACCACCCCACGTACCCCACTACCACCACTCCACCCACCTCACCCACCTACCCAACTACCACCATCACCACGTGACAATGGAACACCGCCACTTCATCGCTGAGGTAAGTGACACATTATTATTTCTTACCAATAATTCTCATAATTATTATCAAGAGTTTTGAGATAAATTAACATAACATTGAAGTGGCCGAGGCTTACTTAGGCCTAGGGTACAGTACAGTACACGTGGTTTACGTAGGCTTAGGGTACAGTACACGTGTTTTACATAGGTCTATGGTACAGTACACGTGGTTTACATAGACCTAGGGTACAGTACACGCGGTTTACATAGGCCTAGGGTACAGTACACGTGGTTTACATAGGCCTAGGGTACAGTACACGTGGTTTCCAAAGGTCTAGGGTACAGTACACGTCGTTTGCGTAGGCCTATGGTACAGCACATTGTATACTAAGCTTCTGGTATGCAAGGAGACAGAAACTGACACTGCACTCGACAGCCTTCACTTCCTCATCTGTCAAGTCAGGTACCCATTTGCACGTTTCGAGGGGGGGGGTTGTCCCGGTCACGAACCAGAGCACCTTAAGACGGGAGGTGAGTTGTGTAATCACTCAACCACGCAATAAAGTGCAAACTGGGATAGATTGGATAGATGAACTTCTTTACTGCTGTTGGTTGATGTTGACTTTGATATTAATGATGGAAATTAATCTGATATAGTTTTTATGGGGGGAGGGTAGGTGGGCGGCGGGATGGTTAATTGGTGTATTCGACAGGTGGTTTTGGTTTTGTGTTTCTTGGTGTAGAGAACAGTTGACGAATATGACGAGGGCTGCCTGTAGCACTGTGTCTTGGTTAAGTTAGGTTGGAACGAACTTATTAGGTCAGGACTCCACAATATGACATTTAAGTCAGGATGGGGTCCGGTACAGCTGGGGTCTAATAGGACTAGGCCCCAAGGTCCACAAACAAAATACCGAGGAATATTTGGCGTCACACAACCAGACGTTCGTTCAGATTCTTCCAGGATAAGAAAACCCATCTGGTGACGTCAGAGTGTTGGCGTAAGTCTTGGTGTCTTACTGAAGTGAGGCGGTGAAGCCCTCCTCTCCTTCCTGGCGGGCTGTTTCTGGTCTAGTGTGTGGTGGTAGTCACACCCATGACCGACCCTGTTGAGGACCTGCACCACGTCCGTCACGCGTTCATCACACGCGCGTTTCTACTCTATTCATATGGCTATTCAGTTTTATTGGTCAGTTTCATTATTCAATGTTATTATTATTACCATCATCATCTTCCCCACTTTATTACGTCTCTTCAGTATTCATCTTTATCTTCATCATCAGAGTATCAGCCACCAGCTCCCTCCTTTCAGCCGCCTCACAGAAACAAAATCTAATCTACCTTTGACGTTTGTGCCGTGTCTGACCTCGAGGACGTGGAGTCAGACCCTCATCCCTCATGAAATGGGAGGATCAAAGCCTCTCAGTGTAGCCGCCTCGTCAAACTGATCCTTTAAAGAGCCGAGTGTAATTGTGTTGTGGTGCTGGCGGTGTGTAAATGGTTTCTCTCTCTCTCTCTCTCTCATAGTGTTGCAGAAGTACGTATAGATTAGCTTTCTTCCTGAACTGCTTGTGTTCCCCGTTGTCACACACACACACACACTTACAAGCAGCTTGGCGTTACCTTATTGGTCAATTCGTTCACCCGGAAGACTCTGAAAAAAAATCAATTTAAGTGTATATTTTATTAATTTTCTCTTCCAATCAGCGTGAAATAAAATTATATCCTCATTTAAAAAAAAATACAGGTTTGATAATTATTTTATGCTGAATTTATAGAGAAATCATTCATATATGCAGGAAGAGAATGAAGTGTTTTATACGTCAGGCAGCAGTATTTTGTGCACTATACAATATTATACACTAGAGATGATTGTATCTATATCATCTGATTATATATATTCTTCATATTTATTTGTATTTCTTAAGTTCAGAATATGTTTTGTTTGTACTTAATCGATCAATTAGAGCCGTCGTTTAATAGTGCATATCTGTTGTGTCTGTATGAGGGAACCAGACAACGCTCCAACTGCCGCCACGAACATGAACAAAAAATAAGGTTCCAACGATACTAGAGAAAGTCTGGCCCAGATACTGTTATTCTGAAGTTATAACCTTGTAAGTTTTCCTCTTAGTTTACTCCAGGAATCACAACAAACAGACTTAACGCTCGTTCTCCTAAATAGACAATTATATTTACCGTTACTAGAAAAGTTTATTTTTTGGTACGATGTTTTTCCCTCACGTTTGTCACTACCCGCTACCACACGCACGATGTCTTCCAAACTCTTGTGAGTCTTCGATAAGCTGGGGGAAACTTTTGTCCCTATTATTTTGTGTTATATTGTTTGTGATGTTTGTGTTGTTTGTGTCAGTGTGTGTTTGTGTGGGGCTGGCTCTGCCTTAACGAGGTACATTTCCTTAACTACAGATAAACCAAAGGTAAGGTTAATGTTGGTTACGTTTGGTTAGGTTAGGTTAAAGTTGGTTAGGTTAGGACACAATGATTTTTTTTTATCCTCACGTTAGAGTTTCGGGTTAAGGTACACACGTGTCCCCGGGCAGGAGGATGAGGGGTGGAGAGCTGATGACAGTATAAACATAAAGTGTGGTGGTGTGAGAGTGACGTCAAGTACTCTCTCTCTCTCTCTCTCTCTCTCTCTCTCTCTCTCTCTCTCTCTCTCTCTCTCTCTCTCTCTCTCTCTCTCTCTCTCTCTCTGGCGTGGTGATACTTTTATTTGTCGTGTCATAAAAAAATCAACAACGCCAGTGTTATGAGTTGCTATCGCCTGGCGTTGTCTATCACCACCCTATAGGTCTTACCAGCGCCAACACGAGCAGTCATTTTCGTCTGACGTTACCCTCGAAGCCCCTTGATGACACACCTATCAAAAGTGTTCCTGTTTGTTTCACGTCTCTATTTACGATGATTTTATTGGTGAAAATTACGATCTTTGTTGTTATTTTTAATATTACTCTAGTTATCGTCTTGTTGTTATGTATGAAAGAGGAAGAAGCAATATGGGAGGAGATGCTGGACAGGAGAACAATATTGTGTGGAGAGGAGGCGAGGAATACCAAGAAGAAGAAGACGAGGAAGAGGAGTGTGTGTCGCCCGAGGAGGTAATGAGAGAACGGCACACGAAAGGTTGTTTACAAAAAAATGGAACATTCTGTAGTGGCGTGACCCCCTAAGGGGACAGACGTGCCCATAGGTGCTCTTGATTTCCCGATCGTCCCACAAAGGTCCCCTCAGCCAGCATGGGGGGTCGACATAAACGTCCCAGAAGAGGCTCTATCATAGATGCAGACATCTCTGATACTGATGCCATCGCCAACTCACCTCGTCATACCGAATCCAATTCCCTTCAAGAGTCAGACCCCAGTGATTATGACAGTGACGGTAATGTTTCTATGGGAAGCACTAGTCGGAGCGGAAACACCAATACCACGGACCCTATCACCCTGCCCTCTGCCAACCAGCCAAGTAAGCTGAATCTGTACTTCCCCAATGATTCACTGAAAACCGTAGAGGAACGCTTTAATTGGATGATGAAGTACTGCAGACAACACGGTTTCAACATTCAATTCTGACAAGGTAAGAAACGGAACTTTATCAAGTGTCAGACTCCTGAGGTCTATGAAACACTTAGTACTGTTGGCTTTGACGGGGTTATCCTGGTGCCCCCCCCCCCCAGTAGACACTGATGAATGTTGCCACATCCTAGTGAAACGATTCCCCCTATACGCTGACATCGAAGATGCACGTGACATTAATTCTCGTATACTCAGTATACGTCGACATTACCGGGGGACACCCCACAAGCTGCTGTCATTGTTAAGTGGAAGGGAAGGGAATGCCCAACCACTGTGGAGGCCCACCCAATCCTCCCTCCACTTTATGCAGAACCCTATCACCCCGGGCCTGCATTTTGTGTTATCTGTTCTCATTGGCGTCACACCTTCACTGCCTGCTGCCGACGTGATCGTCCCAGATCGTTTCTGTTCACGTAACCATAACTCCGCCGCCTGTGCCCAGAAAATCAAAGACCACCTTAATGGGGGTGGTGTTGGCGATGTAGTTGACCCCAGGTGTTGTAACTGTGGCGGCCGGCACAATGCTGACTCACGGCAATGCCCCAATCGCCCGTCTGTCCCAGGGGAAAAGCTTCCCCGAAGGCCGTGTCTACCGGGCCACCTCCCTTTGTGTCCCCTCTCTCTCCAGCAGCGCCTCCTTCAACAACACCTGCCTCTGCCTGGCCTCACCTGGCTGCAACACAGCAGTCCCGGCCATCTCCTAACTCAACTACTACTGGTCCTCCTCCCCGTCTCTACTCTGACGCTGTCAGGCCTTGTGCTCCGACCGGTGCCCCTCCCCCCACAACCCCCCTTCAGTGACATGACACAGATCATATCCCTCTTTCAAGAATTTACAACCGTATTGAAAAAACTCTTCGTTACACTCTGTACCACCATCTCCCACCTACTCTTGCCCTCTGTTGCCACCCAGTCACTCACCTCTTCTGGTTTGACACAAGCTGGTTGTCCCCTGTGAGCCCCCTGCTCATTAGCCTACTCCACCGCCGGCGGCCTTCACTACTGGTGTAGTGCCTGCTGCCCCCGAGCGAAGTCCTGCCTCATCTTCACGACATGTGGTGCCTCAACCTGTCCACCCACCGCAAGCCGCGCCCGCTACTGTGTCTGTGCTGTCGCCACGCCTAGTACATTGGCAACCCTGATCCTGGCCGCGCTGTTTGTAAACTTTGTGGTCATCCCGACTCTCACACCCTCTCTCACTACATCCTCACTTGCCCTATGACCTCCTCCTACAGGTCCCCAGCCGTTACCAGCACCTCTTCCCTCCCTGACCAGATATCCCCCCTCCTAGAGACAGGCCTGGCACTTGACATTATTAGGGACCTGCCACACTTTGCCATAAACAGATAAATTGTACCGGGAATTTCCCCCCCACACACTCATCTTTCTGTCACTTTATGTAACTTGCTGACAAAACCTATGACCCTTCAGGCTTTTACGCCCT